GCAGGAAAAGGCTGGAGGGCTTCTGGGTTAAAGCCTCTCCCTGACACTGGATCACCTGGCAGGCAGCTTCTGAGGAAAGGACCGGCCCAGCCTTGGGCCGAGGTGAACCTGAGCAGGTGCCGGTTGCATCCCCCCGCCTGCAGGTTTGGTCTGCAGTGAATGGTTCTGGGCCACGTCTCGGGGCCTCGAGGTAGCCCCTGGCCTCCAGGGTCGCAGCCCCAGCGTCAGCTGCAGTCACAGGCCCAGCCCGGTGCACCGTCTGGGGCAGAGAAGCTAGTGAACCTGCTCTGAGCATGAAGGATCTCTGGTTTCTAGAACTCCACGGCCTGGGGTTCCTGGCGGGAGTTCAAGGAGAACGGGTCGAGGCTGGGCCCAGCCAGGCGTTCCTCCTCGCGAAGGTGCTGCTCAGACCCCGCAGCTGTCCCCAGAGGCATGACTCTCCCATTGCAGGTTCGGCGTGAGTGAGCTGGTCCACCTCTGTGAGCAGGCACCCGAGGGCAGAGGTCAAGAGGAGGAAGGTGAGGATTGCACAAACAGAGCAGAGAGCTTCCAAGAACTCTTGAGGTCAGTGTGGGCAGACGAGGAGGAGGCAGAGACTCCACTGAAACCTGAGGACCAGGAAGAAGACAGAGAAAAGGTGAATGAAGCAGAAATGGATGAAATTTATGAATTCGCAGCTACTCAGCGAAAGCTGCTCCAGCAGGAAAGAGCAGACCTGGACGAGGACATGGACCAGCCCGGGGAGGACAGTCCAGGTTCTGGGCACAGCCTAGCCAGAGTCCAGGCTAGTGAACAGTGGGAGAAGGCAGGGAGAACGGAGTCACCTGGCCTGGTGAGAGATGAGGGGAAGGAGGGGCCGTGCGCCTTCCTGTCTCTCCGGAGCTGCTGTTCGGATCGGGGTGGGGAAGCAGAGAGCCATGTGCAGGGGACACCAGGGGAGGCTCTTGACCGTCCCAGCTCCCCTAGCCCACCTAGGGGCTGCCGGGCAGAGAGGAGGGCAGGCCCCTCTGTGCATACAGTCCATGTCCACGACCATGGACGGCTCTTTTCAGCAACTCGAGAATTCTCTGACTCGTCCCAAGTGACAAGTGACCCTGAGGAGCTAAGTGGTACTGCCAGGGAGAGGGGGCTACAGGCCCCCCGTCCACACCCATGCTGCTTCCTGTCCCAGCCCCTCGGTGGCAGGAGCCCCGACCGGTCACATCATCCTTCTCACCATGCCACTGATTTGTCCCTGTGGGGGCCCCAGCTACCCGGTGGCGTTTCCAAGGTAGCTTCCCCAAAGCTGCCTTCTCCAGTCCGGCCATCACAGCAGAGGGCCAGCAGCACACTCACGAGACTCACAGGGCCAGGCCAGCAGAAAGGCAAAGAAAGTGAGTCTTTTCTGATTTCCCCAGAAAAGTCCCCACCCATCGACCTAACGCAGTGCAAGCCTGGCCTTCCAAGTCCCGGGTCGCTGCGTGCTCCACTGCAAGTGGACCAGGAGGAAGTTATCCTCTTACTGGATTCCGATGAAGAGCTGGAGCTGGAACAGACCAAACTGTGCTCCAATTCTAATGGTCCCCCAGATGAAAGGAAGGTTGAGGAAGAGAGCCCCAGTTCGGCTGAGTTGTTTCCAGTCATCGATGTTGATGCCGGCCACGAGCGCTCCCAGAGCCCTCCAGGAAAAGGAGGCGAGCTGCAGCCCGAGGGGGCAGGGCAGCCTGAGATGCGGGGCTCTCTGGGTGGCAGAGGGGCCCCTTGGCTGTTCTGGGACCGTGAGAGCAGCCCTGACGAGGGCAGCACCACAGACAGCTCCTGGCTGGTGCCCGCCACGCCGCTGGCCGGCAGGAGGCGTGGCTCCTCCTCCCAGCCCC